TGGGGAAATATAGAGAATAGAAAGCCTTTTTGATTGAGACGCCACTTGACCCCCCTTCCCATTTGAAAAAAGTTGGGTGATGATACCCCCGCTTAGAAGGTTAAAGGTTTTGCAATCATTTTTGGGGCAAAAGTTGTCCCCCTCACAAACAAAATTGACGTGTTTTTGGATTTTTTGAAAAAAAAATACCCTGGCTGTTATGCCTTGCGGAACGTTTTCGATGGGCCACCCTGTATAATTTTTATACAAGATTAGCAAAAATCATGATTATTCTTAGAAATATCTAAAAAATCTGTTTTTTTTTATTTAAATCAGATAATTTTTTTTTTATTTTAATAGAAAACGTTGTTTAAATCGGATTTCCAAATAATTAGGGCTTATTTCCAAATAAAGTCCTATCCTAAATGGCAAAAAATATTCGTAACTCTACCCGATACCCATAACATTAACAATCGGCGCGTTTCATTTTCCACCAAATTAAAGGGCCTACACAATTTTGCTAAAAAGAGAAAAGAAAGTCAGTGGCGCACATGTTTTTTTTAGAAACATATTCCAGTGGTAACCCATACGCACGTCCCTGGTGAATATGTAAACACTTTTTTAGCATTCAAATATATTGCACTTATAGCAATTGTTACCCTCAAAATTTCATTCCAATCGCTAAAAGAATTTGGAAGAAAATTATAATAAATCAAAAAAAAATAGCAACGAAACGAAACAGAATCGGACCCATGTTGATATGAAAAATAAATCTTATTTTTACATGAAGAATCCCCACACGAGAGATAGTCAAACTCGTATAAAACCATAGCCAATAGCTAATAGAAAAATTATGTTTTTTTGTTTTTTTAATTAAAAAAATTGAATTTTTGTCGGCAATCATGTGACACGGAAGGACGAGAAGGAGACGTCATTTAAAATACTTTACATTACTTTTCACCCTGTATCATCAGCAGATATCCATATTTTTTATATATTTTAAAATTTTTATCATATCAAAAAGAATAAATATTTAAAAATCATAAATTATCATTTGCTATGCTATTGTTTCACTGTAAAATATGTTTTGTTTAAAAAAAAATCTGCCACGTTCTGTATTTTTTAACCCTTTTTCAACCTCTGCCTTTTAAAATCCCAGATATTAAATTTCGATTATCGGTTTTCACTGATTTATTTTTCCTCTTTTCCAGGCCTTTATGAAACAAAAGGGTCAATATGAAATACAACACATTAGATAGGAAACGCGCCCTTAATACTTACGGGCTTTATGGGGAATTAAAAGATACCCAAAGTATCAGATTTCTTAGAATAAATATTTAGTCATTAGTTATAGTTTAATTTATGTCATGTTTAATTTATGTCAGTGATGACCGGTATTGATAATTTAGATTCCAAATATCTCGAGATCCATTACTCGTAGCGATTTTTACCAAGAGACCTTTTTACGTAAAAAGCGTCGTAAATGTATATTTTTTAACTCAGTAGTTTTATAAAGGTACAGACAAAAAGTTATTAATCTTTAAACCAGATAAAGGCTGAACCTACAAGTAGGAGTCATATTGACATCAAAATCAAATTTCTCATGCCAAAAAACTTCCAGACGCCAATTTTCATCCAAATATAGGTGTTAGTTCAAAAATTATTTGAAAAAAATCGAAATAAAAATGAAACTTGTACACCCTGTATCGCCGAAACTAAGCATTTTAGGACATACATTAACACGAACTTTTCTACTTATTTTTATATGCAGAATATGCTACCGAAGTTTATCGAATACAGTTTGTATCTTCAGAAAATGCTTAAATCTCAATGTTAACAAAAATATAGTGAAGAAATTAACTATGAAATCGATTGGTCTTAATCATTCCATATCATTCAGTCAATTAATCTTCCGTACCATAAAATTGGCAAAAAAAACCTCTCACTACTTAATATAAATCAAGGTATAAGTAATATTAATCATTATTATTAAATTATCCATGCACATTCTTATATGAAAAAACATATAACAAGGACATAAAAAAATTATACTCATTATAGACATTTTTTGTTACGTGTATTGAACGAATTTTGTATGTTAATACAATTTAATATTGATAAAGTGCTTCGAAAAAATAAATGTTAATAATTTCTACGTTCGTTTCAACATAATCAAGTTAATTTTATATCCATCCCCACTTAATTGTATTAACTACACACACATAGGCGTAACGGGTTTCAAAATTACATTAAATACTGATCAAAGGTGCTCTACATATATCAATATAATATTTTTTACAGTTTATATTAAAAATATCCATCGGGATTCCGTTCCGTCGGTAATTGAATAACCGTTCTGGTTATATTGGCAGTCGCGAATTATATGGAATACGGCCAATAATCCTTATTAATAGCTGGAATTACTGGAAAATTCCTTTGGTTCAGTTACGATTCAGCTCAAAAATGTTTTGCACGAAGCTTTAGCAAATTTGTACTGCCAAATTCATCGAACATCTGCATAACACCAAACCCAAGTTATTGAGAATTAGAAATTTTGGCTATTGAATTCTTTTTAAGTTTAATTTAAAAAAAAATCAATTATAAAACAACTACCATACGATCGAAAAAAAAGGCGTCGAAATCGGATGAAGAATGACAATCAATGTTAATTTTATCGCGGTCAAGTATTAGCCGTCATTTAATTGGCTCGAACTCTTCTTTATTATACTTACTGCGCTTACTGCAAGTGCTTTAAGAAGGTAGTAATTTATAAAAATAAAGTATTGAGTAAAAATGATTCTTAGATGGTGTATTTTAAAATTCGAGAAGAAATAATTTTTTGGAAATAGACTTGTGCCTCTGGAAACGTTCTATCATTTTTAATCTTTGTATAATTAGTTATAATTTTTGACAATCTTTATGTCAGAGAGAGTTTTTAGTAAATGACATCTAGAGATTGACCTCGCCAAAATTGTCATTTCACAGCCGTCTTTAACTCTGTTTTATTTTTTCGATTATAATTTTTTTTCCTATTTTTTTATAAAGACCCTGAAAAAAATACCTATGATTTTTAAAGCCTTGAAAATGTCTGTGGATAATTTTTTCTGGTCTTTATTAAGTCTGTGGTCAAATCGTTGACTTGGTTTTTATTTTATTTTGGGTCCAAAAAACGATGTACATGGTTAGTCTTCAAATAGTAATAATTAATAAACTATAATTATTATATTTTATTGCAATGCTAACTAATTTTAACCGAAATAATTACAAGTTACTGTAATACTAGAAACATTCAGTAAATTTAATTTATTCCAAATATTAATCTCTTAAAACAGTATATACGCATATGTAATGTAATTAGGATACCATGAATTGAAATTACCTTGATTATATTCAATCAAATAAACAAATTATTAATATTTATTCGTGTTTGTATTACCGCATTTTTTTGTAGAGAGCACTTTAACATTATTAAATTTCATTTGGATAAAAAATTGTACAATAATACACAGAAGTCGACAAAAAAATCTAAAATTAATGAGGATAGTAGTTTTTACATTGCTGTCGTTATTTCTGATATAAATATATGAAGCCATATAAAATATAATATTGTTATTAATGTAATTGATTTTAATAAAAAATGGATTCAGTAGTGACTTTTTGGCTATTAAAAAACCAACCCCTTAAAATTGTCATGTATTTTAAAGTTCAGTATATTTTTTTCTAAGAGGCTATTTTTGATGATTCTTTGAGCAATTTGTAGCTTAATTATTTGACTTATTGGCCTCTTTTTAAATTAAAGTTAATGTCCCGATATGTCTATTTAATGAGGGAAAACAAGATGTTGTTATCTGGACAATAGTTTGTAACACCCTATGGAATTATTTAACAAAGAAAGAAGTTTAGAAACCAATTTACCAACAAAGTGTATCTTTTCGCGATAGTTTGCTTTTTGTTAATAGCTTTATTCTTATTGGAGACGTTTGCTTTTGAAGAAGACAGTTACAATAATTTATAGCAATTTTAGCACTAAAGGCACCTTTGCTGTTGGTTCCCTACAACACACCTATAAAATCGAGTTTATTGTTTTTTTAGATCAATGTCATGAAAAATGCATATTATAGTATTGTTTGTTAGCTGTTACTCTATGAGAAATTTTAGGTAGTACAACAGTAGTGTAGATAGTACTTCATGGCTTAAAACCATCTTTGTTTGATTAACTGCCAAGAAACAATAATAATATGACTTTTCAATAACAGAGACAATAGACAACAAATAATAAATTCTATTTCACAGGTATCTTGATGAGTACCAAAAGCAAAGACATACATTTAATGCTAAAATTGCTATAAATCGTTAATAATAATAAATATATTAAATAAAGAAAATAAATATAATAAATAATTCTTCAAAAAAGAATATTTCCAATAAAAATAAAGCTATTTAGATGAACCAAAAATCAAACTTTCGACAAATACACCTTAGTGATAAAGTAAACAAACTTTCGCCAAACTAACATTCTGTTTTCCCTCGTATAATAGACCTATTTTATACTACTAACCGTTTTGTAAAAGTTTAAGATTAAAGACACTAACAGTTCAAGAAGTTGCTTATTTTATTTACAAATTCAATCTAATATAAATACATGTATTGCACATGCTTATGCAGTTGTTAGCAAAGTGCATTATTTTTATTAAATTATTTTTTTTATTATATCGCTTTTTAAAAAAATATATACATATTATATTTTATATATTGTTAGTGTTTTGTTTCAGTAATGATTTCTTGTAGAATTCGTTGAAGCTATTTTAAAAAAAAACTTGCAAATTACGCTCATAAAAATAAAATATATTGTTGAATATTTTATTAAAAAAAATAAGGTTTATTTATAATTAAGAAACTATTATTTTGTAACCCAATGTTCATAATAAACACCAAACATTTGAAAAAAATAATACTGACATGCAACAATTATTCGTTTATTATACTAATACACATCCAAAAAAAACAAAATTAAACCATACATTTATTGACAGACGAAGATCGAACGTATATCCACGAAGAAAGTCTTCCAGAAACAACAGTTTATTTAAAAGTTTTATGAACAAAAGAAAGCGCGCGTTTTCAAACTTTCGCGTCAAAAAGCGCCAGAACGCGCGATCGCTCGTCTATATTCGCTACAGTACGTCCCACACGCACGTCCGCTACGACACTGACGACAAACGCGACCTCACTGCCACCGCTTTCCACTGTGAGGAGCCACCAGCAAGGCGCAAGCTCGGTAAAGGGCCTAAGGCCCTTAGCGCACACCGGATGATAGTCTTCAAGATGAAATATGCCAGGAACAAGGGAGATTTGTTTAATTAAATATCTTATATTATATACTTATTATTTTCGTCAGATGCCCATGTCAACGTCTGTCCCTCCTGCTTACTTTAACTCGGTCTACCATGTTTTCTTCTACCTACACCAGATGTCCATTTGATAACGTGCTTTGGATAGTGCCTAAAAATTAAATTTTAGCCATAAATAGTATATTGTTTTATTAGGAGTAAAAATGATACCCTATGATCGAACAAAAAACGGCGTCCAGTTGGCTGAGAAATGACGATCTATGACATCTTCCATATAAATGTATATATAAAATGACAGCGATCTTCATTTCATAGCCATCGCTGACGCCCTTTTTCGATACATACGGTATCTACTTAATAATTAAATTAATTTTGTATTAACTAAGATATTAAGAAAAAAATAACACTGGTATTTTTTTAATGGGGTCGGAAAAATAAGTATAAAAAACACACTCTACTGTAGTGGGTGGTCGACGTCATTCGCCTCGGTTGATTATACGAAAACGGAAAGATGTAGAAACAATTTTTTTTATGGGTATACATATGTAGAGAGGCAATGTGCATAATTTAAAATTATTTTCAAATGTACAGGATGTGTCATAACTAAGATCCATACCAAAGTTAATTTTTTTCTTATGGAACAATTAAGGTATTTTATTTCATTTTTGGATTCTTGGCCATAAAATAAGGCATTTATTATAAGGGTTTAATACGTTTAAAAGCTTTGGTTTTTGAGATATTTAAAGATATTTAAATATGCATGCTATAATAAAAAAGCTTGTCAACAGCCCGTACATTACTTTTCAGAGTTAATTCTTGTGCTGACTTTGAAGCCAGAGAAATAAACTTTACTTAAAAATTATATTGCTTCTTTAAATGTATACAGAGGTATCAAAAATTGCTGGTCAATTTTAAATATATATTTTACATAAAAACTTCGTTATTTCAAATACAACACTATGTATTTTTTTTAAATAAGTCGAAGCAGATTTAAATGCTCTTTCAAACTATATTGGGGTTTCCTATACCTATCTGGCTCAGATTTTAAATAAAAAGCGATTTTTCAATAAAATGGCAATAAAGATGGCTGGTGTTAGTGGTGTTGCCATGGCAATTTGCTATTGACAGTTAGTAGCTATTTTCAAAATCGACATTAGTTTATGAACATTATTTAAATTTATACTAGTTTACTTTTATTGAATTTACCTACAATAGTTTAATAAATAATATTTATTAAATATGTATTTATCATTTTATCAAGAAAAACGAAGAGATAGTTCTTTGATTTATTTTACGATGACTTGTAGCAAAGAATATTATAGTTAACACAAGTTAATCGATTTTCTATAAAAGAACCAATTACGGCAAATTCATTTTCTTCACTTCCAACGACAGGTTTCGGCCTAATAGATTTTTAAAAACCACACTACCAGCACTGTGAAGTAGTTTTTCAAAGGAACGCTTATCAGGAAGATTTATATTTGGGTATCTTTGAGCATAAGCCCTTGAGGCCAAGAAGCAATTTTCCTCACAAAATAAAATCACTAGTAATTACATATCCATTCGATCCACTAGCAGATACAGCTTTATTTTTCTTGATAAAATCAATAATGAATACTTACTTATTAAACTATTGTAGGTAAATTTAAGTAAACTGGTATAAATGTAAATAATAATGTCCATAAACTAATGTAGATTTTGAAAATAGTTACTAAATGTCACTAAAAAATTGGATGGCGATACCAGCCATCTTGATTGCCATTTTATTGAAAAATCGCTATTTTTTCAAAATCTGAGCTAGATAGGTATAGAAAACCCTAATATAGTTTGAAAGAGCATTTGAATCTGCTTCGATTTGTTTTAAAAAATACAGGGTGTTGCATTTGAAATAACGAAGTTTTTATATAAAATAAATCCTTAAAATTGATCAGCTATTTTTGGTACCCCTGTATACATTTAAGGTAGCAATAATATTTTAGGGTTTATTTCCCCACCTTTAAACTCAGCACAAGAATTAATTCTGAAAAGTAATGTACATGGTGTTAATAATCTATTCTATTGTAGCATGCATATTTAAATATCTTTAAATATCTAAAAAACCAAAAATTTCAAACATATTTAACCTTTATAATAAATACCTTTTTTTGGGCCCAAGAATCCAAAAATGAAATAAAATACCGGGTGTGTTCCATAAGAAAAAACATAATTTTAGTATGGATCTTAGTTCTGAAACACCCTGTATATTTCGAAATAATTTTAAATTATTCACATTGCCTCCTCACATATAGCCATAAAATCTTTTCGTTTTCGTATAATCAACCGAGGCGAATGAGGTGCCACTCTGTATATAGGGTGAAACAAAACTAGATACTTTACTCTACTATGTTTATACAGTAATATGCTAAGTGCACGCCGGATGCTCGTCTTGAAGATGAAATATGACAGAAACAAGGCTGATTTGATTAATTAAATACCTTATAATATACTTATTTCTTTCTTCAGCTGTCTAATTTCTACGCATGGTGTGTCCTATCTGCTTATTTATTCTTGATCTGCCAGGTCTCCATTTGATATCTTGTTTTAGCTTCCGGTTTCTATACAAGTATTGGAATTCCCAACAAAATTCGGACGTGGAAAAATATATTATAAATTTATTTATGTAACGTTTTTCTAATGAGAGAATATCTACCAGTGAGAGTGGTTGTCTTCTTGACACCCTGAACAGACTTACCTTAAACACAATTTACCTTAAAACAGCAATTAAACATTTGAAAAAGTGGTAAGTATACCTTTATGTGAGAAGTACTAGATTTGTACCTACCGCATACGTTACAAATGTAAGAAAATCTCTGAAATAAGAATATATTGTTTATCGGAAAATGAGTATTTAATAGCAACAACTAACCTCTACAACGCTTTCTTGTTGACTAATAAATATTTTTCGCACTCTTACGTAACCAATGACCTAACGCAGTTTTTCTGGACTGACTCAGATTAAAAATCATAATAATGGAACCTTCGACTATAAAGGTAATAGTGCAAAATCCTCTAAAATGTTTAACACAAATGATATCAGAATTGGATTGGCTGTTTTTAATAGAACAGAAAACTTTGAGCATTTCAATAATTACTTTTAGTTTTGTTTTGCCATTATTAAATACTTAATTTTGTTTATATTAATATAAAATATCGCACGTTATATACCGATACTTCTATATGGAAATTTAAAAAATTATAAACTGGATTAACCATTTTAGCACAAGAAAAAATGTTTATGAAGAATGCAAAAGTTTTTTTTCCAAAGACAATGTGGCATACTGTATACTAAAGAGGTATAAATTTAAATGTATATTTTTATAGTTATTATTTACACTATCAACAAAAATAGTCTGTAATTTTTTTTGAAGTGAAACTTCTTTACGCGCGCTGGGAGTAAAATTTCAAGGCCGTGGCACGACACGACACGCGAGAGGAAAAGTGGTAAGGACAGCCTACGGCTTAGAAAAAATCGTCCGATTTAAATGAAATTTGGTATGTCGATAGAGTGGACCAAGGCCAATTTGACCATGTACGACACGTGTCACTGTGACAGTTAGTTTTGCCAAAAGAAATGTCAAAAATTGATATCGTCCGATTGCGACCAAATTTGGTGGGTAAGCTGTGTTCTACGTGTACAGGGGTACTCGAATGGAGTCCTCAAACGGACAGACGGTCATTTTAATACAAATTTTGTAAAAGTGAGTCAATATATTTATTAATTTTTAATTAATTACTTTTTCAACATTTCTAACTACACTTTTTCAAACATGTCCTTCAAAATCCTTCAATTTGATATCTGTTACTAAGACTGTTCACTTCGACATAGTACACACATATTTTTTTATATGTTCGGTCTTTTAGAATTTAATTTTCTCGACATTTTATATTTGTGTCAAAAAATTTCTATTACCCAGGTATCCAATATTAACTTTGATATCTCCCCACACGTTGCAATATCCAATAAACTCCATAAAAAAGCCTCGAAAATTTTCTCGATATTTTCTTTATATAATCCGCCATAATACAATACAACTCCCCAGTGACATGAAAGAAACTTCGTCAAGCTTTCCTTAAAAAAGGGCCACAGTGAACTAAGGGGGGAGTTAGAGTACAGTAGGGACTGGAAAAAGAATAAGTTGAAAGAATAAAAAAAGTTTTACATTACAGGACGAAATTTTGCGAATTCCCTTTTTTCTGGGACAAAAGTCTTCAAGAAATGGCACCAAGATACGCTAATTGGGTAGGGGAAGTTTTAATTCTTAAAGTAAAATACAAAACTTTGCCGCAAGTTGTGTGTATTTATTTTAGAAATAAAGGTTAAATGTAACAGGATTACTCAAGTTTTGGTGTAAAAGTTCCGGGTCATTTAAAAAAAAACACCAGTAATTTTATTTTGTAAATGTCATGTGTATTTTTTCAAAATATTTTTGGAAAGTATCTATAATCAACGTTTTCAATCTAAGAAAAAAACTTTCAAGAGAACTTTGAAAGTAATCAATCTCTTCAGATGTTAAGGGTCGTGCTATCTGGAGAATCATAGTATACTATTAATTACTGCCATTACTCGTTGACAAGTATTTGACACGCATCAAGATCGTTACGCAAGGCGTTTCCCTTCATGAGCTTTTCTAAGACTGAAAAGCCCGATACGTGATGTTATCTCTCTTCGGCACTCCGGACATTCAAAAATCTTATTGCTTTGTTGCATCTTTACTTTTTGGTTGTCGCTGTTAACTGAGTTTACAATTCTTCCCACTGATTCTGCATGCTTACCTCCTTTAAGTTTTCGTGGATAATATCTTTGAA